ATCTTAACAGTTTGGTAAACTCTTACTGCTGGTTATCAACCTGTTGACCATATTTATTAAACTGACCTAACGCATTCTGCATACATTCATTAGTCTCATGTCTAATCATAAAATGTATGACAATACCTGAAGTGATTAGCATTCAATTGTGATATCGTGTTCAAGGACAATGGGTAGTTTACCGTCCGTTCACAATATCGACTTATTCAAATGATATGACCGCTCAAATCGCGTTTGTGCCTCCTGTGTTAACTGTGCTGTTTATTGTGTTTTGGAAATTTGAGCACGTTTGCCGGAAAATAACCGGTCAACGATGAATTGTCAATTCGGTTTTGAAGAATGAAAACTACACGTCTGGCTGTACTATTTGTGACTTCGTGTCTGACCAAACGAGGTACAAAAAGACTGAGCATCACAAATGGGTCGGGGCTGAACTCCACATTGTGGACAGCCTCCCCCGGATGGTGTACTGGCTGCTATAAGTTCTGTGTGTGTGTGTATTTCCAATTTTCCGAAATGACTGATTTCTTACATTTTTTACTCAAATGATATGGGACCGAGGACTGAACCTAAGAAAGGAGAGGGGGTCTAAAGGTGAAACATGATATTCAACGCAAATCTTCTGTTTGTCTTCCGCTGGTTGCTGAGAAATCAATGTGTTTGCTTTTATGGATAAACTTACTTTGCTTGATTCACGTGATGCCCATGATCGATGCGGCCACCTTCCACCATGAGGAGAAAACCTTTGGGATTGCGTTGTAGAATACTCACGGCTTTTGCAGTCATTTCTGCCAAACTGGGCTGATCAGTGCGATCGATTTCATAATCCATGTTACCTGATGCCAGTACACCTTGACGAGGAGGGAGTGTGCGGTGTGAGAGAAAATAACGTTGGTGATGAGCAATCTTTCTCTTGGTCTGGAGTATCAACGAAAGCGTTTTATCGCTATGAGTGCTTAAATTTCCATCAAGGATTCCGCTGAAACAGTAACAGCCTAGTACACATATATACCACCAAGTAATTCAAAAACCAGTATATACTCGGCCTCTAATTCAGGTAATCTCAAATACACAAATCAACTGACTTCTCAGCGGATTATTAAGTGTTTTCTAGGATGACCGGATTCTCGAGCTACTTGTTTGTCGCGTTAGTTGTCTCACTTGGTGATAATGGTAGCAGTTAAAGTAAGGGATCATTCTTTGTGCACGCGATTAGTTCCACGAGATCGGAACCCACATACACACGGGATCTCCACGAAGCTGGGGTACTCGACAGCAACTGGTCTAGCTGCTTTGCTAACGAGGCGCTTTAGTGAACCTATTTGGATTCGGTGTCTAGTCCCGGCATAATGGTTATACAGAATACGATTGGTTATGTCTATGACATATCTTGAAGTGCTACACCTTTGTACCGGTTTTCTTTCGAAACTGCACAGTGTTCTTTTTGTGCAATATTCCCACTTTTGTATATGAACAAAGTGGAAAGGCGAAAAGATTTCTTTTCTTTAAACCGCTTCTATTACTCAGTAGAATAAAACAAGTTTGTTGTTGTATGAATGTATGTGTGTGTGT